CAATCACTGGTACCCCTCTCCTCCCAAAAATGCTGCTGTAATAGAGATAATGGAGTTACATGAGCAACCACATAAACTAAAAACTGCCAAAATAATATTCTTGTTGTCATAATTTTATATTATGTATTAAGCTAATATGATAATCTTTGATTACTTATTAAAATTTTTCTGGCTTACTTTTCTGCAAATTCATCAAAAACTATACATTTCCTTTCATTTTTTAATTGATAATGAAATTCATGTCATGCAATTTCTTTTTTTCAAAGTGTGACTGAAACAACACCAGTCACTCTTGGCAAATGCAAGATCAGAAGTCAATTTTAATAATTTTTCATTTTGAAGAGGATCTTTGTGCTGGTACAACTGTTAAGAATAGCTTAGACTGACGACACAGTTAAATTTTTGATAAATTATATCAAAATATTAATTTTAATACTTTAGTAGTTGTTGATTCTTGTGGAACAATATTTCTAAACAGATTTAACTCTTCATACAAGTTAATTTTATGTAAGTCTGAAATTAATTTTATATATAGATTTTACAATGGTATTTTAATGTTTCTATAGACATGAAGAAATGTTTCCTCAAATTTGTGGAGATCATACAAGAAACCAAAAGTGGCTTCATAGTTTGTATATAAGATTCAAAAAGTCTGTTTATGCATTTTGTCATTGTATCTCCAATTACAAGAGAAAGTATTTAAATATTCTTCCTTATAAACAATTCTTTTTTTTCTCTTTTGGTACCAGGGATTGAACCCATGGGCACTTAACCACTGAGCCACATTTCCCAGCCCTATTTTGTATTTTATTTAGAGACAGAGTCTCACTGAGTTGCTTGGGGCCTTGCTAACTTGTTGAGGCTGGCATTGAACTCGTGATCTTCCTGCCTTGACCTCCCAAACCACTGTAATTACAAGTGTGAGCCACAGCACTCAGCTTGATTCATTCTTCACATAAAAATGTTCTTAAACAAAGTCCTGTGGTACACCTGGAGTTCCAAGCTAATAGGGAGATAACATGGGAGGGTCACTTGACCAGCTTGGTCTCTCTCATAGAAAGAAAAAAAATTTTTTTTTCTGTAGTATTTGATGATTTTGAAATGCCATTTCTTTATTTTCAGTGTTGGGGGTTGAATCTAGGGCCTTGTGCATACCAGGCAACTACATCCCTAACTGTGTGTGTGTTTCAGAGATAGATTTGCACTTGTGTTACCCAAGCTGGTCTGAACTCCTGGATTCAAGTGATCCTCCCACATCAGACTCCTATGTAGCTGGGACCACAGGTGCTCACCACTGCGCATGACTCTAACTGCAATTTCTGTTTCTAAGCCTATGATTGTTTGCTTTGTAATGTTGCAGCAGTTTTCAAAACTAAAGAATCTAAATTCTTGAAGAATTCTAATAAGTCCCTGTTATGCTTTTATGGCAATGTTTATGTATATCCTGAAGAGTTAATATCTGTGCAAGTGATGCAGGATCAGTTCTGGGGAGGGACAGGCAAGTTGACCTCCCACTACAAGTTCTGGCAAGTTTAAAGTCCCAGTGACAGCCTCGTCTTATCTCTGGAACTATGGCCATTGCTGCCACCACTGTTGCTTCTGCCGCTATGCCTGCCCGAATCCTGGTCTAGCTGCACCCTGGATGTCCTTGAAGCATGGGTTGCATGCAGAGTGTCACATGACCTGAGCCCTCTGTACACACACATGCATTACCTCCTGGTGTTCTCACTGCTCACAAGCATGCTCCATTTGTCCCATTGGATTTCACTTACCAAACACAAGTTCAAAGGTAAAATTATGAAGAATTTCAAAATAGCAACAACAAAGGATTAAATGGAGCTTGGGTCCCGCCTGTGAGGGAGGCCTTGTGCAACTGCACAAGTCACATGCCCTTGAAGTTGACCCTGCATATGGTCATATGGTCCATTAAGCATTAGGATTTGGGCTGTATATAGAGGAGTGACTGGGCAATGATAGATTTCCTCCATGACCTACATTTTAAAGCAAAAGGTTGGTGATAAATCTGCATCCTCTTTCTACTGAAATGCATGCTGTTTAAGAGTAGGACTCTTGTCTTATATAGCCTTGTATTCCCCTCAGGGTCTGCGTCTTGTGTTGCATATTGTAGATGTTAAGTAAATGTGTTTGAATAGATAAATTGCTCTTCTTCTGTTTTCATAGTTGTAACTTATAGAGTTGGAAATAGAAAGGCATTGCTTTTACCTAAGATAGTCAACTAATCTAAGTTGTTACAAAGTTGTGTAATAAACTTAGAGAAAAAAGTCACCAAAGATATTACTAAACAAAATCATAAGTGAGGGGTTCAAAATAGATTTGGGTAAATGTATAATCCAATAGACTAACAATTTATTTAGAAAATTTGGGGGATTTTGCTGTTTTTTCCATCTGCAAGCTTCTGTAACCTTTTAACCTTTTCCTTCCTGGAAGGAACCTAATAGAAAACATCCCCTGATTTCACTCTCAGAATCAGACTAATGATTTTAGGAAGGAAGAATCCATTCCTATTTCTTTGTCCCTTCCTCTTGCTTTAATTCCTAAGTTGCATGGCTCTCCTGAAATCTAAAGTTTGCTTCTGTGTCTCAAAAGCAAAATTATGAAAGAAAATCCTACCAATAATTTCAGGTGGAAAAGTAGAGAGAAATGCAATTTGACTGTGAATTAGGTGGAATACTGGTTCATCTTGGTAAACTAAGCCCATCATTTATTAATCCTTGACTATTGGCCATATTTTGCACTGAAAATTATTTACTTCTGTTCCAATAGGACAAATTCAAAGGAGGGATAACATTATGGAAGAACAAGTTCAGTTCTTTCCCATTTACTAGATTACATAATTCCTCTAGCATGGGCTCTTTTTAAAAACCTCAAGATTTTACACAATCCTACATGTCAAAGTCATGGTCAGAGTTAACAGCAGATCATGGGCAAAAGGTCTAGAGGTCAGAAAGGAAGAAATCTCAAAGTGCTGATTATATTTTTAAGCTTATGAAAGGAATAAATATTAAAGGTATAGTCTCCAAGTTAAAGACTGAAATTCATGCTGTTTAAGAGTAGGACTCTTGTTTTATATAACCTTGTATTCCCCTCAGGGTCTGCATCTGTGTGTTGCATATTGAAGATGTTAAGTAAATGTGTTTGAATAGATAAACTGCTCTTCTTCTGTTTTCATAGGTATGACTTGTAGAGTTGGAAATAGATAAGCATTCTACACACACACATCCCAATTGCCCATGAATGCTGCATATGTCTTATAAAACCTGCATATGTCTTATAAAAAGATGTAGGTGGGATCATGACATTTTAGGAACACCTAAACATTCCTTTTGACTAATTTAATTCTGGTTCCTATTTCTCAGAATGTTACTGGATTCTTGGTAGTTTAGATATGCACATCTGGATGATTGCTTTTCACATGTCAGTAGAAATTGTGTTCAATCTTTGTAAAGAAAATATATTGCAATTCTGTAACAGTAAAGCAATGCAGGGAACTAATAATTTATGTAGATAACAATGACAATAAATTCATTTGTTTAATAAATATCAAGTGTCCACTACATATCAGGCAGTCTTCTTGTGTTGAGGATAAATCTGTGAACCAAACCACACCAAACCAAAAATCCTGCCCTCATGTGGCGTAGATTCCATTATAGGAACACAGACAACAAATGACACATGTAAGTGAAAAAGTACATTGTAGAGTTGTTGTTATATATATTTTTTCTTTTTAGAAGATAGTGCATCAGTTTGCTATTGGTACAAACCACCTGAAAACCAGGCAGCTCAGAACAACATTTTTATTGCTCACTAGAGCAAGAGGAAATGAAAGCATGAGGTGGTGGGACATGCAGGCAAACCAGTGAAGGTTTAGGTTGCAATTGCAATTTTAAATAGGAGGTCACCTTGCTGAAAAAGTCATGGTGATATGCAGCCTTATATGATCCCAAATAACCCACATCTCTGAGTCTTTCTTATATAATCCTCTTTATTTTAGTGTAGGTTTTACTAACAAATAGAATATGGCCAAAGTGACAGGATGCTATTTCCAAGACTGGGTTACGCCCTTCTTGGACGCCCTGGCTTGCTTACCTGACGGAAGCTGGTACCGTGCCAGGAGGTGTTCTGTGGAAGAAGATCCATGTGGCAAGGAACTGAGGGAGACCTCAGTTCTCAGTTCAGTAGCCCCCCAGGAACTGACTTCCAGTTAACAACTCAGGGAGTGAGTTTAAAAGTGTTCTTTGCTCTGTTGAGCTTAGAGATGAGACCATAACCCTGGTGACACCTTGATTCAGAGAATATCCAGACAGAGGCACCCAGCTAAGCTGCATTTGTAATCCTGACTGCAGAAGCTATGAGTTAATAGAGTCTGTTGTTTTAAGTTGCAAGATTTGGAGTTCTTTGTTACCTGACAATGGATAAGTAATACAGTGATGTTTGAAGACAGTGAGGGAGGCAGCCATGCAGCTATCTGGGGAAGGGCATTCCAGGAAGTAGGAACAGCCAGTGCAAAGGTCCTGAGACAGTAGCATGACCAACACTTACAAAGAACAGCACAAAGGCCTGTATGGAGCAAGCCTGAATGAGGGCTTGTTTATAAGGAGCCAGATGATGAGGCCTAGTGGGTTAGTATAAAATCTTTAGCCTTGATCTGAGAGAAACTGGGAGCTGCAGAGAGCATGCTGTACCATGACCTCATTTACGTTTTTGAGAGATTACACTGGATTGTGTTGCGAATCAGCCACAGCAAATAAGGGAGACCAATTAGGAGACTGTTACAGTAATCTAGGCAAAAAGTGATGGTAGCCAATACCAAATGAAAGTACAGTGGTGATAGCACAGATGGATTTTGAACATATTTTGAAGTAGAGTCACTGAATGGTTTGTGGGGTGTTGGAGAAAAGCCAAAAAGACTCATGGTTTTTCAGCTCAAGTTGACAAAAAAAAAAAAAAAAAAAAAAAAAGGCGGGAAAACTATAGGCATATCAGGTGAAGGGTGAGCAAAATAAGAAATTACCTTTATTCATGTTGAACTTAACATATCAATTAGACATCAAAGCAGTAGATGGGTCTAGAATTTAGCAGTGATATCTGGTCTAGGTATGTGAATTTGGAGTCCTCAAAATGAAAACAGAATTTAAATCACGAGATTAGATGGGATCACCAAGTATTGAGGGGAAGGGCCCCCAACCTGAGTGTTTAGACACTTCAGCGCTCAGTGAGGAAATAGAGGAGGGATGGGCAGAGGAACCGGGTAAGGAACAGTCTTGGAGGTAGGAGGAAAACCCAGCAGTAGTGCCTTGGAATCAACTGGAGAAAGTATATCCAGGCGAAGTGGCCAATGGCAGCTACTGTGCTGGTGAAGCTCGGAGAAGTGACCGTGGGACTTTGGAGCATAACTGTTGGTGACTCTTTCAAGAGCATTTCCAGTGAATCCCGAGAGCTATGGAATAATGAGTGGGTTGAGAAGTGCGAGGGAAAGAACCGAAGTTAGTGAGAACAGACAGGTCTTTCCAGGAGTTATGCTGCTAAGGCAGCAGGAAACGGAGTGTTATCTGGTGAGGGAAAAGGTGATAGAAAGGTGTGTGTCTTCTGATGGTGATGTTGAGAAGAGGGCAAGAAACTGGTAACACAGCAGAGGAATGGCCAAGAATTCCCTGAGATGGCAAAAGGTCATTCCTCTGCTATGTCACCAGAACTGAATCTAGCACTTGAGTAGAGGGATCCAGCTTGGGTAAAAAGCCAAATTCTGTACTTTCAGGAAAAAATTGTGACTTTTGAAATAAGATAAAAATATTATTGTTGTCCTGCCTAGTATGCTCTTTTATCTTTCATGAGCTTGGAGGTATTTTATAACATTAATTGTAGATGATGGATGGGAATACAAATAATTCTTTTCCAAAGCCCTATGAATGAACTTCATCTAGTGTACACACAATTGATTTCCTTTGCCCGTTAAAGAAGACAGTTTTGCATCCATTAAGCAGATTCATTTTGGCATGCCTGATTGTCCATGTAGGTATGTCTTCAGGATTCTTCTTTCAATTGATTCTAATATCTTACTCATTCCTTGATTCATGAAATAAATAAAATCTTTGGCACATGCTCCTTTGATATTAATATGAGAATCATGATTTTACATTTCTTTTTAAAAAAGTATCCTCCAGCAATTGTGATGTCCACATATGCTTAGGTGTGGCAGTGATGACCTACTGGAAACTCTTCCAGTAGCTCACTTTCCTGAGGGCAGAGGACATGTAGTTAGGAGAGTGGTGGAGTGAGTGCCTGGGGAGGTTTTAGCATGATTGCAGCCTGGAGGCCACTGAGGTTAGTGGTCAAGGGTTTAAAGCAATCTGTGAACCGGCAGAGCTCTGCAGGTGCACTCTGCATCATGCACGCACCCAGCGAGCTGGGTTTCACCAGATTGGGATTGGGGGTTGGGGGCAAGAGAGCTGAAGACAGGTACTGATTATGATTTACTTGGAACTTAAGCAAGGTAAGGTGATAAGATAAGACTTGTGAGCAATGAAGGACAATGAAAATGTGATAAGATAAATAAACTGGAGGTTCTAGTGGGGTTAAAAAATTGCTGGAGTTGCACTGGGAAAATGAGCTGGAAAGGAAGCAAAACACCATCTTTACTTGGGGCCTGCAATCTGAACACTCTACTGTTTGGTGATCACTTACCTGTCAACCACTAAACTTGTATGTGTGGGAGGGCAGGTGTTTTACATGGACTGCTTCCATCTTCTTCTGCTCTACCCTTATGGGCTCTCCCAATGAGATGATCACGTGAAATCAAGTCTCCCTTTGTTTCTAGAGTGAACAGAATCTGCAGACAGGGAGGCAGCATGATGAGCAAGGTCTCTATGGAAGGTTGTGCAGTTTGTACACTGCACACAATCACCAGGCTGAGGGAGCAAGTGGAGCTGACAGCCAGCCTGAGCTCTGCTCATCCAGCTGTAGCCCCGAGCCCAGCTGCTTTTTGCGCCCACAAGTCTCATGCTGCTACACTGGGGATGTTCTAAAGTGATGCTTTTTCTAATCCACAGAGAGGCCAAGGAGCCCTGACAAGATGAGCTTTTACCCTGAGGGCTGGACATAAGGGAAGGAAATTTGTCCTTCTGTTGAGAAATCCCTTATGCACTGGTGTCCTCTAAGTGCTTCAAGTGTTCAGTCTTTTTGAAGGCCTAATGTTATACCTTCTCAATTATGTGCATAGAGTAACTTTTTATAATACAGTTTACATTTGAATAATTTAATTTTGTTTTCCCCTAAACCAATACATGCCTCTCTTAGGAGACCTTTGCAATTTGAGAACAATGATGAATATGCCACATGCATTTATTTATGGACTGTTGCCCCTTCCGCTGTTTGTTGTATACCAGAAAAATCCTAGGTTACACAATTATATTTATAAAAACCAGCTCAATGTTTTTTCCTCCCTGATAAGTAACATAAAAGAGATGGAAGAAACTGTTGTAGACAGGTTAAAGGAGTAAAAACATTCTACTTGCCTTCTTACTATTTTAAGATCTTCTTTAATGTATGGGTTCATTTTGAGATGCATGATCTGTCAGTGGTTCTGGAGTTTCCAGATTTCTTCAGTCTTGCAAATATTTACAGTTTCCTTAAATTGAGTATCCGTTAAATTCGTACAAAAATATCTGCAAAGGCTTTCTTTTTTTTTTTTTTTTTAGGTAGGAATTCTAGCAATAACTACTCATTGAGTTAAAAATATAATACAGAACACAGCTTTATGGAGACAAAGTAATTCATGCTTACTGTAAGCAAACGTTAGTATGTGGGATGAGCTGGAACTTGGAGACTTGCCAAAAACAAAGGAAACTTTCAACATACTTTGAATAGTCAGGAGTCAATCCAGAGACTGCTGCTTTGAGGTAGTTCAGTATCACTTCCTTACCTTGATGCAGCCTAGAATGAAAGGTTAAGGCTACTCACACAGGAAAGTCAAGAATCTCCACCTCCACGCTATTTCTGGGTCATCCTTGTGAAGAATTTGTGAGTCTCTGTGGTGCTCTCCCCTTAGAGGCACAGAATTATTTTCACTTGCGCAAAACAGTGCTGATTCTGCCCTTAGAAGCACAGCACATTTTTTTTTTTCCATTCCTTTCTTTCTTTTTATTTTTTCCAGTGCTGGAGATGATTCAGGGCCTTCTGCTCTACCAGTGAGCCACGTCTCTGGCTGCTCACAATTCTCAATTATGTGCCATCAGTTAAGCTTTACCAAAAGCCATGCTAGTTTGTCTGAAACTCCTTTGAAGACATCACTATTTCCTTTTTAATTTCCAACTAGAAATGCATTGTTTGGGCACAGAAGAGAAGGGAAAGTAAGAGACAGGGGACAGTGTGCAAGGGACAGCAAGGACAAGGAACAGGAAACGGCAATGCTTTCTCATAGTTCCCGACAGAATACATCGTGGGCATCTGCTCACTATTTCACTTCCAAGTACAGTAAGACTCCAGCACATCAGTCAAATCCTAGGTATAAAATTGCATGTTAAAGTAAAATACAACTTTTCCCTCAATAATTTATTTAAAATTACACAGCCTATTTGTGTGGAAATTAAAACCAACCTAAAATATGCTTTACATTTCCAAAGTAGAAAAGCTTTTGTTCCAGGGTCCCGATTTGGAAAACAGCAAATTCTAACTGACAAAATGGAATGAATATGTCATGTACTTGAACAGACCAAGCAGTGGGCTACATTAAGTGGTATTTGATTGATGGGAGAGAAAATGTGACATCAGAATGAATGAAAGAACTTCAGGATGTGTTTTGCTATGCATGTATTTAAAGTGAGATTTAAAGGAACTGGTTTTAATCTAGGCTTACTACCCAGGATGAAGGTGGGGAATATACTATTAGACTGTGCATTTGATGTGTCTGATTAATAATGAGGTTCTTTCCCCCTTAGCAAGGCACAAATAAGTGCACTTAGTGGACTATAATGCAACATTTGCATAAAAGGAGTAAGTTAATATCTCACCCAGGAGCTAGAAAGTCCTATGCTGTGTGAATGTGCTCAGGCTATAGTATTATTGTTTAAGATTTAGTTTTCCTTTCATGCTATGCATTTATTTCCCTTTGACTTAAGCATGGATATTTTCTTTAGCATAAGCAATTTAAAGTGTAAACTTTATTCCTAGATAGCTCCAAATTCATTCTGTTAGTTGAAATGCACTCAGGTGACATTATTCAATTTGAATAACTACTGCTGAAGGAGGCCTCAGTAGTATCTGGTCCAGAGCATATCAGTTCAAAGAAGGTTTTTTATGCATAAATATAAAAGTATTTTATTTTTCAATGCTTTTGCTTTTAAAGGACTCTCTTGAAAGGAGTGTCAAAGAAGAATTAAGTAAGTTTTAAAACTTTCTATTAGGCCGACTTGCAGGGGAGATGAGTGGAAATGGCTTCATTTCATAACTTCAAATTTCGTAACTTTTCAAATGGTTTCATAACTGGAGATTCTTGTGGCAATACGTGACAGTATAGATTAACCCCAATGACTCATCTTTCTTTGAAATGGTTGGTGTCAAATTATATGTTAATGTTATTTTCAAATGTTATTCTGCTATAATTGAACTTTACAAATATTTATTGAACCCCTACTATATCCCTCACTATCTAGTGCAGTTCATTGTTCCCTAACAAGCTTTCCAGCTGCTGATGGTCTTGTCTCCTCTTGGTGTACATGTGTACGTGTGTGAAGCTGTCTGGACTTGGTTAGTGTGCTTGTGAAGCAGCTTGGAGAAATCTTGTCTACTTTTTAATCTGTTGGTTGGCTTTGTAAAGCATGGCAGAAAGCAGAGGTGGCAACCCTAAGTCTGCCAGAAGTATTTCTTCTTTGAAGACACTCTGAAGATTTATCTGCTCCAGGGTATTGCTTTGTTCACTTGGTAAAGAATTTATGGAACAAAGAATTTCAAACAGTTCTGCCGAAAGTGCACTTTGGTCTCACAGTCTCTAGGCATTGAACTTGTCACCTAACTTGCTTTCTTCATGACTGAGGTTCTCTCAAAACAAAAATGGTAGGAAAGCTTTCCTATGCTTTGGGTAGGAGACAAATTTGCTTTTGTAGAATTTGTGGCTGAGGAAAGCAGACAGGGCCTGGCTGAAGAAGACATATGTCACCACTAGCCACCAAGTTAAATTGTGGAACCCAAAGGTGACAGCCATGGAAATGTAGATCATCAGCTCTGCTAAGTAGTTAGGGGAAGAAACATATTCAAACCAGTCTCCAAATGGGATCCGATGGTTGCAGTGAATGACCACTCCTGAAATGGAAAAGACGACTTCATGAGCATCTCAAATGTTAACCAAATCAAGTGTTAACCATTTTAATTTCCAAATCATTCATGGGTACTCTCAGGTTACTTTGCCAATCATAAGCACAAAGGAAAGCCGGTTCCTTCAGCAACCCTCCACAGTGGTCACTAAGAGCTCAGACCCTGGAGTCACATCACACGTGTTCCAATCCTGGCTCTCCCGCTTACTAGTGGTGTAACCTAAGAGGGGTGCTTAATCTCATTGTGCCTCTGTTTCCTCAGCTGTGAAGTGAGGTTTAGATTGTACTCATTTCATGTGAGATTTGTACATGTGAACACCTGAAATAGGGCCTCATACAGGGTAAGCACTGGATAAATACTAAAAAATACTACTCCATTTTTAGTACTTCAAGTAGCCTAATGAAAACTGTACTGGTGATACAAGCTAACTGGAAGGTCAGGTTGTTTTGTTTTGGCTGGGATGATACTCACTGCATGGCAATATGAGCTACCATGTGTGGATCAACATTTCTGTGCACTGAAGTCATCCAGAATGTGGGCACAACATAAATCACAGACTTTCAGAACTTATGAGGCTGGAAAGATCGTCAAGGGGAGCCTTGTTTTATAGGTAGGGAGATCAACCCTTAGGAGGTATCTTGTCAAGACTGGGTATTTGGCATAAATGTCAGCTAACTAGGGCAGCAATGAAAAGAATAAAGGAACACAGAGAACTGAATTCTGAGGGTTAAAATCCACACGCAGTGGCTCCAAGAGATCTCACCTGCTTTATTTTTCCTGAGATTGCCGAGAATGACGTGGCATTTGTACTGATGGGCAGATGACCAGAAGAACATCATCATTCCCAGGATGTGAAACCAGCGTGCTTGCATCAACAGATTTTTCCCTATTACATAGACTATAGAAAAAAGAGTCATCTTATTAGCCAAGTCTGCAAAGTTTCAGAGACTCTGGGAATTAAGAAATCAAGTTATCCTGGTCTACTTTCCTCTGCACTAGGGAGCCATGCTCAACTGTGGGCAGCTTCAATGGCCGCTGGCAAGAAAGTCCGCACTGACGCTTTCTCTTGCTCCTTCTCCAAAGGCTTCAGGCACACACTAAGCTCCATCTCCCCTTGTGTGATATACCTTTAGGTGGTGAGTCTACTTTTTGTAGACTTCTCATTTGCATTTTATGGTCAGGAAAACACTTCCTAAAGAAATCTCTGAGCCATTCCCAGAGACATCCTGAATGTAAAATACTGAGTTGACTGGCTCTGGCCAGTGAAGAAAATCACTGGGGGAGAAGGCTGAGGGTGGACTCCTCACAGAGGGGAGAAAGCTAAAACTGCAAGACAATCAATGTAAAGGTGTCCCCTTCTGGATAAAAAAAACCCAGTGAAAGAGATTGTTTCAAGAGTAGAAACACTCACAACTTCATCTTCTTTCTCTCTGGCTACCAAGAAGGGAGGAAGGAAGAAGGCAAACCAGCGAAGGACACGAAGAGCAAGCCCCTGGCACTGGAAGGACAAAAGAAGGCCTCTCTAAAGGTAACAGGACAGAGCTGGCTTATGAGTCTTGACAGAAGAAACAAAAGGTGTCCACTGGTTATGGACGAAAGCCTGGGCTCTAGAGCCAAGAAGGGACTCCTAAAACACTGATTTAAGTAAGAGAACCATGGGTCATGCTACTCCACGTGGTACTCACAGGTGGGAGTCCATTGAGGACAGCTTCTGACTAATGGCAATCCACCCAGGTTCCCCTGTGCCAATTTCCATTAAGACCTTGTTTCCTATCAATCTTTATAGCCCTTTAAATGTCCATTAGGCTTAGTCATTTACAAAGGTTATATTTTTATAAGTTAAAAATAAACAAAATATGAAAAGTACAGTTTCAATCTGACAGGGTTCAAGAGCAAATCAGTCACTATAGAATTAAAAGTTAAAGCAAGTGCCCAGGAGTTCAGATCTCTATACTGCGTTCCCTGCTTTAAATGCAGAGACGAGGATTTGTAAGAGTAAGCAGGAATTATAATGCAGGAAAGGGGAGGCAGGTGGAAGGCGCCTTCTTACTGACAGTATAAATTGTGTAGTGTTTTATTATTCATGCATCCATTAGTTATTTATTGAGTGTCCTTGAAGCTGGCACTGCAGTAGGCACAAGGGATAAAGCAAGAGAAAGTCAGGCCAGACCCCAGTTCTCCTGGAGAGACATTCTGGCTTGCAGATCTTTTCACTTCCACAAGGACCTGTGAAGTCGGTCTGTGCCCCTAATTCTGGACGGGGGCTTTGAGGCCCAGAGAGGTTCAGTGAGGCTGAGCTAGGCCCAGCAGACTCCCACGCCCATACTGTTTCTAGCTGACGCCTCTCAAATGCCCTAATGTGTTCTCTCTCCGTGAAAACAACCCTCCCATATTATCCCAAATGGCCCCAGATGACCTGGTGAAGGATAAATAGATGAAACAGAAAACAGCTTCAGAAAAGAATGTTCAGAAAGCTACTTTTGTGGGTGCCTCAACTCCATGGGAGGGAAAGCAAAAGCTGGGCTCCAGCCTGGAGGAAACTGCAGAGGAGCTAGTAACGCCAACAGAGCTGACACACAGGAAGCCAGCGGGTTTCGAGAGAGCTCTCAAAAGTTCTCTGGATGGAACACCAGGAATGACAGCTCGTACACTGGTACTGGCTGCACTCTGGTAGCGTGGTGAACGCTGCAGCTGAACCACTAGGGAGGAAGAACTGACTTGATCTGAGTTCAGAGGAATCAGCTGGAGAGGGATTTGCTGGCAGAGTGGCTGGAGCTAATGAAAACTTCAGGAATCGAGAAAGATGGTCAGTAAGCCCTGCTTTAGGATCATTCCCCTAGCCACAGAGGTGGGCTACAGCAACAGAGGACCTCAGGGTCCTAGCTGACACAGAAGTCAGACCTCACTCATTACGTATTGGAAATATCTAGACCTCGGTCTCAATTTATGAGGATGGACAGGGCAGCTTTAGGATACCTGGAGCCTAGGACTTAAGAGAGAAAGTGGTCATGAAAGAGCCACAGTGTCTGGGCTGAAGGACAAGCTGCAAGTCAGGCAGACCTCAGCACTAAAAACTCATTTCAGTCACCCAAAATGACCTGACTGCTTCATTTTGTTTTTTACAAATATTAATTTTCATGTATGTTAGGTGAGCCCCACTCCCTACCTAAAACAAAAATCCATATTTCCGTCTCACAGAGATTTTTGTCATTTCTTCCTGGCTGGAGGGAGTTTAGAACCTTAAGGCAAACTTCATTTACCATGACACTCTTGCCCTCTTCCCTCCGGCTGGGCTGCCTCGCAGGGGGAGAAGCGTTCTTACAAGAGGAGTCATCCCCAGAACTAATGCAACAAGAAGGTTCCTGCTTCCTCTTCCAACAGGAATGTCCACCAGGAGCACACCTCCTCTCGAATTTTCTAGGATTTACTGGGCTCCACAGCCCCTGTCCCCTGCCCCCCAGGTTGAGGAGGCCTCCTGAGGTTACCCGCTGTGCTGCCCTTTCTCCTGCTTCCCACGAGGCACTTGGCACAGTCCCCCACCCCCCACAGACCACGCCCACGTGGCTTCACTGACTTCAGTCCCTCTAGGGAACCCCACGCCCATCTCATCCTCATTAAACTGAGCCTCAAGAACACTTTTTGCCAGACTGCTTCTGTGGGCATCCTTCCGGTTAATTTCTATTATAGGCCTACGGAGAGGCTCACCTCTAGAAACCTACCCTCAGGGCCTAACCTCTGGAATGCAATCCGGTGGGGCCATCCTCCACCTCCCCACACCTCAGAGTGCTTTGTGGGCGCAGGCCTCACTCACCATTCCTGCCATCCAGTGGCACCTGGCTCAGCACCGTCAGGCCGACCAGGACGTAGTAGACAAGTCCAAAACAATACTGCACAAGGTGAATCACGGCGTTGGAGAAGACACTGACGTAGAAGCACTCGAAGAGTCTCCGCAAGCTGTGCAGCCACAGGAACACGAGCACTAAGAAGGCAGACAGTGCCAGCTCACCCCCTGCAATCCAGAAGGCGACAGTTCAGGGCCTCTCTTCTGGGACTAAACCAAAGGTTTTGTTTTTCCCTACTGTTCAACAGGGTCTCAAAACAGATGAGAGCTGGGAAAAGGCCCTGAACAATCCTGCCTGGTGGGATCCCCAGGGTCACAGGCACTGTGGAGGCAGAGATGGAGACAGGAATAGAAAGAATCATGCATTTCTTTCCATATTAATGACAAAGAAGGTCTGGGGATGGAGCTCAGTAGTAAGAGTGCTTGCCTAAGATGCATGAGGCCCTAGGTTTGATCCCCAGCATTTCAAAAAATTTAAAAAAAAGGACTTATATTTTTAGTGGATAGTGAGCTCAGAGATCTACCTTCCTGCCTGCCTCTTATTCCTCTGCTCCCAGTCTGAAGAAAAGCTGATTTTTAAAATAACATTAAGAAGTAATTTTTCTTTTTTTTAATGAGTAATACATACACACACACACGCACACTCACACACACACCCTATAAGGTACAGCTTAAATTTTTACAAACGAAATCAACCCACAAGGCGATAGTAACCAGCACCTAAACCAAAAAAGAGAGCTCAACCAGCACCCCCTAGTGTTCCCTTCTAGGAACTACCTGTTCCTTCCACCACCCAAGGTACCCACCCCTGTCCTGACTTCTATCAGCATAGATTAGTATCAGCACCAGCTATTTTTGTGTTTTAAATGAATTTTAAACTTGGTGTTTTTTTAAAAACTCTTTAGGAATAGGTTCGAACAAACTTCCAGATAAAACTCCTCAAAACCAACCCTCCAGATACCAAAACACCAGCCAGTATCACAGCAAACAAATCAGGGACAAAGTTTTAGAATGAAGTGGGATTTGCTGAGTAGCTGCCTCTCCCAAATAGGAGGTGGCTGGGTTTTCTCCTCTGACTGTCATCTTTTGCAACAAGTCCCAGGGGTTATATAGAGAAAGATTGTTCCTAGGGGCCCAGTGATTTGGCTGGTGGATCAAAGAACAGAGACAAGGAAAGAGGACAATTTGTTTTAAATTTTGCCCCTTGTCCTCTGTCTGACCTTAACTGAGGCCACTTCACAGCTTTCATCATCAATTCATTTTATTTATGTATTTATTTGACATGTGGGCAGAGATCTCATTACGCTGTCCAGGCCGGTCTTGAATTCCTCAGTTTAAGCAATCCTCCTGCCTGTTTCCTCCTGAGTAGCTACGACCATAGGCAGGAACCATAGTACATAGATTCATTTGCTAACTTTAAAAACTTTTCTACGTATCCTCATCTCCTGCTGAGTGTGGCAAACTTAAAGGCCAGTTTGTGATTGTCTGACCAACATCTACTTGCAGACAATTTTATCCCGTAACTAAAGCCTCACAGCATACACCTTTTCATGTTTACCAAAAAGCAATTAAAAAAAAAAAAGCAAGTTTCTGTGTGTTCTAAGATGTGATTCTGTCCGGAACTCTATCAGTGATAAATGTTGCAAGGCAAACCTGAGGAATCCTCACAGCTTCCCCTTTCTGTAAGGACTTCTTTATGACTTTATCAACAGTGCTAAACATATCAGAGGGAGAACAGCCAGTCCTGTGCACAACTGTGCTTGGGGGACATTGGGAGTCAGAGCGCTAATGCTGAGCTCTGCCATGATCTGAGAGAGGACTTTGGGACATCCCTTTGGCCAACTAGCAAGGAACCATGCAAAACCCTTCTTGCCCTGGCTCTCTACTTCCCAGGCCCTGCAGGAGAGGTATCAAGAGAGGCAGGAAATGCAGCACAGCTCCCTGCAGACAGGAGGGCAGGGGCCGGATGTAGTGTTATGAAGAGGCTGGCAGATTTTACCTTGGAACTGCGCTGCCCCAAGAATTCTGAGCAAACGGTGAAGCCAGTGTGGAAAAGGTACTCCCAGGAACAGAGATTGGGTAAGGAACCAAAGCAGGAAGCCATTCCACAGCACCGAGATGACGTAGAAGTGAGAAAAATACCTGCAAAAGGAAAAGGAGTTAGGTAACAATTGGGGTAGAGCTGTGTAAAGCCCTTAAGCAGGAAGTATTTCTAGTTGCTCTTTCTTCCTAAAGCCCAAAGTAGAGTTTTGCTTTCTTTTAACAGAATCTGAATCCCACAGGTGTTCAGATTTTTAAAATTCCCTTTCAAATGATAAGACTAGTTAACTGGTAGAAAAAGAGTTTCACAAGAACACAGTTGACTTTGTTAGAGTAGACTGAGGGTCAGTTAGTGATTTCTTTCATTTCTGGGTAACAGAACTTGGCCTACCTTTCAAATAAGGGGGTGACGGGCCTTACAAAGAGAATCTAGATTGCACTGTAACTCATGCTAAATCTGTGAAAGAAGGTCGGGTCCTGAGCAATATTGCAGTAGTAGCCACACAACTGTTGCACAAGCTTTGCACAATCAGGATCAGGGCTAGAAGGTCTTATGATCCAGTGCTTTTCTGACTCATGTTGACTTAAATTAGTTTTATTGTAACATGACAATAGAAGTGGGTATCCACTCCCTCTGCATATAATTCTCAGACAATTACAGAGCCTATTTTGCAATGAACACATTTACAAACTAAATATCAAATAAAACCAGAAAACCAATAAGATGAAATTAGCAATGTTAATTTAATGTGAATGATGACATCGATGTGCTGAAACAAAGTCACCTAATATGGCATAAGGTTCTGTTGAGGCTATCCTACCTAAAGTTGAGCATCCCTTATCCAAAATGCTTAGGACCAGCAGTATTTTGGATTTTGAATATTTTTAAAATTTTGGAATATTTGTATGTCCATTTGTAGATAGGTGAGAATTCAAGTCTAAACACAGAATTCGCTTTTGTTTCCCATATATCTAATACATACACACTGGGGATAATCTTATACAATACTTTTTAGTGCACCTGAGTTTTGAGCGGACCCATCATGTGAGGTCAGGTATGGAATCTTTCCATCTGGGGCATTATGTCAGCACACGCAAACAGTTGGGGATGCTGGAACATTTTGGATTTTTGGATTAGGGATGCTCAACTTGTATTTTTCCTCTATTGAGATCAGTTCAAAAACTTTCTGGCTCTACTGGGAGCCTGGTGATCACTAGACCTTCCCTGGTTTACCGCAGACTCCCTCCGTTTCTCTTTAGTCTGTGACAATGAAAGGCCACCCGGGGCCAAAGGGAAGTTAGATATAAACTCAGACTCCTCTGCACATGAGCCACGATATGCTTGTTAGAGACTCACAGCCCCCAGAGCAGGCCCATAAACCCGGTGGGCCGAATGCCGATCTAAGATGATCATTCCATGGCAACTCACTCCATTCTTCCCATAACTGACAGCCAATTCCACCCCCGGCTCTGCCACACAGAGCAGCACGAATCTAATTCCACAGAACAGCTCTGAAACTATTTGAAGAGAGCCACTTTCTCCTCCTGGCTCAAGAGCCCAATTTTCTCAAAACTTCATCCATCAGGGTCAGTTGTCACCCCCGGGTCCTGATTGTTAGACAAGACACACCTCCCAGAACTGAGTCCCGGGGTGGGCTATGCATGTGCAGTGCAGGGTCAAGAAGGCTTTGCTCTGCAGGGTCCTGTGGGAAGGGGAGGGCGGGCTTCTGAAGAGCAACTTCTAGGCCAGCCACTTGAGCTGCTTCATTTTCCCCAAAGCATTTATGGATCGCTTAGATTGTGCTGAATAATGCTCTAGGAGTGAGGACTCAGCAGGGAGCAAACAATCAGGTCCTGCCTTAATGGAACTTAAGCTTTCAGTGGAGAGTCGGCCAAAAACTAAACCTGGAGACATTTAGTGTGAAGAGCAGTGATCTGAATCATGGTCTTTCTGACTCCCTCATGGCTGCCTTTACTCTGGGAACTGCCTGTGCAAAAGTGCAGGGATGATGGCCCAGTTGCTATGGTGACGCTGGCTTGAGGAAACTGTACAAAGGCTCAGAGTTACAATTTGGGACCCTGAGCTGAGGCACCGGCTCCCAGGGATAGAGAATTCTCAAGTCGCCCCAATCCTGTGTCCTTCAGATTGCCTGCTTTGCTAAAACTTTCCCACAAATGACCTTTTGATGAAACCTGTATAATAAACATGCTGAGCTAGCTCTGGGTCAGTGAGGCTCCATCAGAATCTGACTGCCCACCTGGCCCCAGCTTTTTCTGGAGAGCATCTTTCTGTGCATCCGTTTGTCTTTTCTTCATTCCCCATTGCCTCTCGTCTGGGGTTTTTCCCTGAATTAATGGCCTTGGCTCAGAGATTGACGAGAGGGCCATGGCATTTTAGCATATTGTTGGGCAAGAGAACAGAGAGGGTGCAGGGGCAGGCTACTCTGGAAGAGTGGTTCAGGATGGCATCTCTGGAAGTGACTGACGTTCAGCTACAGTGAGTAGGCCTTGTGGACTCTGGTGGAAGAACTGTAAAGGCGCTGGGGTGGGTGTATACTGGGTGTGTTCAAGAAAGGGCACCTGTGTGGCTGTGTCTGAATCAAGGGGGAAGAGAAGCAGAAGGTGGAATGGGAGGGGCAGAGAACACAGCGCTTGGTGGATGTTGGCTTTTGTAGTGGGAGCCGTTTAAGCAGAGGAGGGACCCAGGTAATAATTCATGTTTTAAAGATCCCTCTGGCTGATGGAAAATTTCTAGAAATGGAGAGTGGGGACGGTGGCATAACAAGGAGCATGTTCTTAGAGCCCCTGAACTGTACACTCAAAATGGGCTAACGTGACAAAATTTATGACATGTATATTTTAACACAATTTAAAAAAAAAACATTTTTAAAGGGGCATTACTCATTCACTTCATACCTAGTCACCTGCTGACCAGGTAGAGAAGTCTAGTTGTGGATAGGGGATGCAGAATAGTGCCTGGGATAACAGTTGAGATTACTAAATCTCATCTTCACAATAATCCTATGAAGTAAATGTTGTTTTCTTCATGTGGTAGGTAAGAAAACTAAGGTTCAAAGAGGTCACGTTACTTATCCAAGGTCACACAGTAAGTGGGAGCGTTTGGCTCCAGACTCAAACCTGATGACTCCACAGTTCAAGTCATTGCTGCCTTCTCATTCACACAGCCTCGGCTTGCCTGAAGCGGTTCTGCCCAACAATACATGTGCCCAAGCCACATGTCAAGCAAACCTCTCAAGCATGATTTGTATAAGTTGCTAAGCTACAACCTGTGTGCTCCTCTTGTGCCATGGTGCTTCGGATGCCAAGGCATACAGTTTTGTTTTTTTTAATTACTATCATTCCCACATTTTGTTGTGCCTTCCTAGTTTCCCTCTATAGGAAACATGCCCCACTCTATGGCAAGTCCTAGTGCCTGCTTGTCTTCAAAGCCCTGGCTTGAGCCTCAGAACGCTGGTGTAAAAACCCCATGGCCTCCTGTCTCCCTGTGCTCTTTCCTCCCCTCTCTGGCACTCTGCTTCTTGGGAGCACTGCTGTCCAAGCCCCCAAGAGCAGGGCTCCAGTGAGCCTTATGATCACACAGGGCTCTGTGTGGGCACTCCTTCCATGAATGACCACCTGCATGATTACTATGAACCACGGTGGCTCTGGAGTCTGGGGACACAGCAGTGAGCACAGGAGACAATTCTTGCTATCATGGTTTGCACACACCCACACGCAAATTATACAGCATGGCGGCAGGCAATAGCTGCTATTCACTAAAGCAGGAAGAGGAAGAAGGAATGCTGGGGATGGTGGAACTATAATTTTAAATGAGATGGATAAAGAGGGCCTTGCTAAAGAGGTAATATCTAACAACTGCAGGAAGTGAGGGCATACACAAGGTGGCCAAGTAGGGGAGAACTTCCCAGGGAGAGGGCACAGGCAGTGCAAAGGCCCTGAGGTGGGATAAAGGACTAGTAGAGAGGCCCTCAAACAGGAATAGAGCCAGTAAGGGTAAACTATAGGAGACTAAATCCACACGGTGGTGGAGGGGGGCCTCTGTAGGTTCTTGAGCTTCTATTGTAAGTGGGCTGGAACTATTTTCACAGTAGCTGGAACTGTCATTATAAGCATAAAGTACATAGGGATTACAAAGGAAACCAGCTACACTGACATGGGTAAGACAACTACCAAAAAGCAAATTTTTTTCTTATAGTAATGTGTATTTCTCATGTATCTACAAGATCTAATTACTGTGGTCTCATGGGAATGAAAACAATAACATTTTGAGGTATCTTTATCACAAAATTGCAGGTACTACTAATTCTATGGTGGATCATTTTGAGCCCAGGAGATACGATCTCACTGAATATATATTTGCAGATTGCTGGAACTGATCCCAGGTCCCAGTTAAAGGAGTCACAGGATCACTAAGGAAGGGAACTAGTGTTTACTGGGCTCTGCCCAGGTGCCTGGCCCTGTGCTAGCTGCCTTAACACCATCACCACCTACGAGCCCCACAGGTGCTACCCTGTGACTGCCCTAACCACAGCAGCACCACCACCTTTTGCCTGGACCACCACAGGAGCCTCTTATCTAATCCTCTCCACAGCACCCTAAGGCATCCTTTTAAAACATAACTCATGTTACACAATCCTTCCTCCCTCCACACAAAGCCTTCACCTGCCTTCCACCCACTCAGAATAGAGTCCAAACCCTCTGTGGCCTTGGAGGCCCTGGGGACCAGTTTTCTTCCCAGCCCTCCCCTCCTTTCCAGGTTGTGACTCACACACAAGATCTTGCACAAGATCAAATAACCCTGCTGGGGGTAAGCACTTACCACCATCTGAAACCCTCCTGCTTGCTGAACAAGATCCGTGTGCATATTTTCTGTCTGTCTAAAGCTCCAAGGAGCCTAGAATAGCTCTGGGGCACGTCGCAGGTACTCTATGAACACCAGTTAAATAAGCGAATGGAAAAGAAGGTAAGTAGCTCATCCAAAGTTACTCTCAGTAAGGAGTCAAGTTAATTAACAAACCAATTGAATCTTAAACCTCAAACATCTTTTTTGACATTCATTCAAGACATACTGATGGAGAGAGGGCCTTATTACCAGCAAGGTTCTGAGCCTAGGATATGGCAACAGACAAACAAGACAAATGTAAATACCTGGGAAATTTCCAGTCCTGAGCATGGGTTCTTATCACTTCTCTGCCATGGACCCCTTTATCAGTCTGGCAAAGGCTATAAGCCCTTCTCAAAATGTCATTATGGGACAGAGGGATTACCAAGGAAACCGATTACACTGACATATAGCTAATGTAACTACCAGAAATCAAATTTGTAATGATATGTGTACTTCTTATGCATCAAATAACAAGATCTAGTGGTGAATAATGACAGTTCTACTGGTGATGAAAATGTTTTGAGGTATCTTCTATATGATATGAAAACAACTATCACAAAGTTGCAGATACTGCTAATTCTACTGTGGTCTGTTATAATTAAGGTTACGCTAAATTTCAGCTAGAAGTTAGTGAAAATTCATCTGTGACTTGCTTTCAATTCAAGTTTGTTCTGCATTCTATCCATAGACCCCCTGAACCTGTTGAAGACCCCCTGAACTCCAGTGGAGAAAATCTGGGCAGCTCCCTCTGCCTCCAGAGCCTAGTTCAATTGCAATGCTTCCATATTAGTCAGAACCATTTGGAAATATTAGAAACAGCAGTGCTTCCATACATACTATGGAAGTCAAGAGCACTGTGACTCATGTTCCAGATCACCTATTTATTCAGCCTTTTTGGGAAATCGAAACTCTAGGAACTAAAGGAGAACAAGAAAAGCAACCGTCACTCTCATTTAAAAAAATTACCAGACAGGTAATGGAAACGAATATTCTGGAAAATGATTTAAAGTTTTATTCCTGTTTTCTTAGGAAAAGAAAAACAAACAAAATTACCTAAAGTACACCTTACGTGTGGAAATGTGATTGACATCTGTCTATTTGTACATGATCAATTAACCCTCCTACGTCTATTTATAACTATAGAAATTATAGGCTTGTTTTCATCTTTAGGAGTGCTATTCACTGTTGTGCAAGGAAAAAATATTTAAATATAAGCAGGTAGGCTAAGATTATCAAATAGTTTCAAATTCAGATTAACCAAGATATTACTAAATGTCACCATCTGGGGATGAGTTCATTCTCAGCTTTTCTCTCACCCATGGCTCAGCTTTGCACTGTGCAAGACTTTCCCCATTGGGCATACCACAGGCTAAGACTCATGTTACACAGAATTGGGATTTTAATTCCAGGGTTCAAGTACCACTCATGCTACCTGCTAGCACTGCACCATGGGGCAAGTAACCCCTTCTAAGCCTGAGTCATATCTGTGAATGTGAAAAATGACAACAAATTTCCCTCACAGGTCAACAATGAGGATTTAATGAGGAAAGTCATAAGCTGCATGTACTAGTCAGTATATAACATGCTGACCCTCAGTCAAGTGCGGTTACTGTTAAGATACCAGTAAAATCTCTCCTCTGTGCTCCCTGAATGTTAATACACTATTTTTTCTCATTATAAAAGTTATAAGCACATTGTTAATAAAACAGTGGAAAATATGGATGAGTATAACAGAGGCTATAGACTACCTACTCTAATAATTCCCCCTTTTCATAAAAATAGGGGTACAAAATTTAAAAGATTAATATAGATTTTTTGGAGACATTGCCAATTTTGATGCAAGTGTTCTATTTTTTTTCTTTTCTTGGGCCAATAAAAATGCCTTTCATTATTGGCCTGGATTTGTTGTCCCTTCTGTAGTGCTATAGGAATTGTTTAAATTTAGGGAACATCCCCAACCCACCCCCCAACACACACAGGTACTTGAACACCATAGAAGGTTGTACTCAAGAATTCTGGAAGAAAAATGGAATAAATTATTTCACAATATATTACAAATTACAAGAAACCCAAAGAGTACCAATTGTTATAGGAATGAATAAGGGAAAGGCCCCAAGCCTCTTGGCTGTCATTCAGTGACAGGTTTGAGCACTAACACCTGGGGCACCTGACCCAGAGAAATAGGTAAAGGCTGGTAATGATTTTTAAGTGCGCTCTTTGATTCAGGGACACTAGTACATTTTCCAAAATTTAGAAAATAAATTGCCACCAATTATAAAGGACATTATGTAATGAAACCTGATTAAGAGAGGATGTCAATTTTTGCTTGGAAAAAAAAAAAAAGGTCTATGGAATAGAGGTTTGGCCAATGCCTTGCATACTCCTTCTTCCAAGGGCCTCATAACTATTGCTCAGGATGACCTTCTTTCTCAGTGTTAACACCTGCTAGATCTTTCTCCCACACTGAAGAGTGGGGAATAGTTTCAGGAACCCACTGTTCTATACTTGGTCCTTTTGTGGTCTATGGACCTGGGGCACCACCCACGGGTGTTGGGAAGGATAACCCGTAAATTTAATCCATCAGAAACCATATCGTAATTCTTTCCGTTTCATTTCTAAACATTAACTTAAGATTCAACTCAAAGTTAGAAAACATTTCTACTCTATTCTTCTGTTTAGTGTTTGTCTGACTCTTCCTATCTATGCCCTGAATTCAAAATGGACACAGAAAGAGTTCAACATGGAAGGGGGGGGGGGAGGGAGGGAGGAAGTGAATTCAAAGTGAAGAAAGAAAGAATGAATGAAAGAAAATCTGCCGCAAGTCTCCATAATTTTTGAATGAATTCTATTTAAGTCCTAACGATCTAATCCTTCACGGAACTTAATTATGAAATCTGTTGAAAGTCAAATGGAGCTTAGGAAGAGACTGGCCTAAAACGTGTCACCCTGAGCGACCTTCTCCAGGGGCATCTGCCGAGGTATGGCCTGAGGAGGTGGCATCCCTGCGATGACCATCTCTCAAGTCTCATCTGACTGCGAGGGATTGGGAAACAGGTGCCACGGGCAGGTCTGCCTTCATTTCCATAAATTCCGGCGACCTCAAGTCAGGCTGTGAGCCCCTTGAGTGCAGAGAGGGGAACGAAGAGAATTTGGGACAAAGGAGACTAGTTTGCCGCATGGCCAGGCCTAAATTCGGATGTGCTTTCATTTCCGGGAAAGAAAGGCTCCGAGCGGCCACAAGTTCACATTCCAGCGCCCGCGACACTGCACGCGGTTCTGCTCCTTGGTGTCCGGAGACACCTGGGGCACTGCGCCCCCAGGGCCACCAAGCGTTACAGAACTGAGCCGAGCCGCGCCCGGAACCCGCCGGGCCCGCAGCCCAGGTCGCCTCTGCTGCCCCCTGCCGGTTGCCCGCGAGCAGGGCGCCCCGGGCCGTCAGCGCCTGGGCAACCGCGGTTACCTCTTGGGGACATCAAAGGCTCGGCAGACAGCCGGGCGCCGCGGACCCCCCAGCTTGGTTTTCCCATAGCGGATCAGGTCCTGGAAGAGCGCGCAGCCCGGGAGCAGGCTGGGCGGCACGAGCTGCAGCAGCAAGGTCAGCAGGAAGGCGGCGGCCAGCGCCAGCCACAGCGCGCGCAGCGGGTTCAGCGACGAGGCCTCGGACCCCGCCCAAGGAGCCATGGCCCGCGCTCCCGGCGTCCACAAACCCGCGCCACCGCCACCGCCCCGGAGGAGCGGCCACTCCCGCCGCGCGCCGGCCCCGCGGGGCTGGACGTCGATGACGTGGCGCGGGCGGGGACTCGCTGGGCCCCTCCCCGGACTCACCGCCCAGCCGCGCGCGTTCCCGGGCCACGGTTCTCCAGGCTGCAGCTGCGCACTCGCAGTCTCTCCTCTGACACTGGGGATTCCTCGATGGAACTCCGGAGAGTCATTAAGCAGGATACGAGACCACGTGGCTGCAAGTCTTCACCACAGGATTGTTTCCAATGGAAAAGGGGAAGCATTCCTCAATGTTCCACTTTGGTGTATTTAGCTGTATTATGGTGATACACTAACGTTAGACGCATTGGCATGACAATTATGGAGACTAGAAACGCAGAAAGTTGCCTGTGACAGCTTTAATGATATGCTAAGTTAAAACAGAAAAGCCCTCTATAAAATACATAGGATTGCAAACAACTTTATTAATATGAACATGTGTATATGTGGATTAAGAAGGCAGGTCATGCACAAAAAAATGAATAGTTGTATTAGAGTGTTGGGAATGTGTATAATGTAAATATATAAAGTACAAAGTCATCAAAGTAATGGAACATAATAAAAAGTGTAGGGAGGAAAACATTGTATTTAAAAAACAGCAGTACCCTACCCACTAGAGTTCCAGTCCCTAGAAGAAAAGTTTTTAGCTCCATCTGCTGCTGCTTCTGATATTTACCTCCATGTAGTGACCATGCTACTTCTCGATTCATCAATTTTAAAACAACATAGCTTTTTCTGTTTCTGTAAATGGAAATTTACCTCTTTTGAGTACTTAAAAAGCCTTTAAAATGTTAATTCAGAGAAATATTACTGTATGCCTACTGTGTGGCAGGCACTCTTTTGTACACTGAGGACAGAGAGGTTGGTAAGAGGAGTGCTGCTTCCTATTTGGATCTTACATTCTGGGGTGGGTAAGGGATTGAAGAAGGGAGAGGTAGTTTGCTCATCCCCTTTTCCCTAGTGAGGTACCCTAAATGATGTGGGTTGAACTTGGTGGGCAGGTGAGTAGGATTTCAACTATTCTTTGGATGTTAAATATACAAGTGTTTAAAGTTTTGCTTCTTTGTGCAAGAAAGATAAGGGTTGGGCAAATGGGCATTCCAGCTAGGACAATGAGGCCTTTTTGTGTGACCTAGGATCCCTTCTGCAGGAGTCACCCTTTGTTGTTTCTTTATTGTTCTTGGGTTAATTCCATAGAGATGCAGCTGGCCTTCCTATGGCATCTTTCCAAAGAAGTCTCTTATAAGTACATAAAGGGACCAAGTTTCCTGGGCAGGAGGCTCTCTTATCTGACCTGGGGAAGGAGTCATAATAAGATAGGGATGTGTGTGTGTGTGTGTGTGTGTGTGTGTGTGTAATGGAAATAGAAAAAATCTGAGACTGGGGGGAAATTGTCTCATATTTTGGGGTTTGGATTTTAATCAGAATGCACAGAGAAGCTCTCTGTGAGGGAGTGGCTGAATAAGAATGCGTAGTCAACCCTGTTGGGAGCATTTGTAAATGTTTAAATACCTGCTCGAGTAAGTTATTTCAAAAGTGGAAACCAGGCTAAAGTTTGTGAGAAAGATTATTGCCAGCAAGTATCAGTCAACATTTTAGTCTTTCTTCATTTAATCAGCAGCACTGTATGTTCTACTAAATAAATAAATAAATAAATAAACAAATAAAAGTCATAAGAACTATAAAGGAAGAAATAAAACTGTCACTGTTTGAAGGTAATATGAAACTTCAATAATAGAACTCCAGTAGGGTCTACAGATGAGCTGTTTGGACTAGTAGAAGAATTTGATGAGGTTGCTGAAGAAAATAATCAACACATATTGGTTGTTTTTATTTCCTAGCAAACAGAAAAAAAATGTTTTAATGATAGAACTTCCAGTGGCATAAAAGATCCTGTGCCTAGAGATAAATCTAATAAAAGACAAACAAGGTGTCTTCAAAAAACATAATAAAGCATTATGATATTAAAATATATTTAAAACGAGGGATATACTAAGCTTATAAACTGGAAGATTCAATGTGGTTAAGATGACAATTCTCCCCAAACTGATTTATGAAATAAATATAATACTAATCCAACTCCAACTTTTTGTTAAACCTTAAACTGATTATAAACTTTATATTGAAGCAGGAAGGGCTAAATATAGGATGGAGAAAAAACATTAGAAGATTTGCTTGGTGAGGTATCAAGACTAGTATAGTGGTCCGCAGGCGTGGTAGGAGGGGCAGGGCAGATCCGCCGCCAGCGCCTTCAAGGTAGGCAGACCTACAACAGACCGGCGGATCAGGCCCAGGAGCCTGCCGGCGGGGTACAAACACCACCCTAATTGGAGTAGGGACAGAGCAGAGTCGCCTCCCTTGCCAGGAACAGACCCAGCATCCTGCAGGCGGGGTAGTCACGACACCCCAATTGGAGTAGGGGCAAAGCAGAGCCTCCACTCGTGCCCGAAAGGTGGGCAGATCTGCGACCGACCAGCAGGACAGGCCCAGTGGCCTGCTGGTACGACAGACACGACACCCCAATTGGAGTAGGGGCAGAACAGAGCCGCCACCAGCTCCCAGAACAGGCCCAGTGACCTGCCGGCGTGGTAGCCACGACACCCCAATTGGAATAAGGAGAGAGCAGAGCCGCCGCCCGCACCTGCAGGAAAGATACGCAAGCAGTATGAAAAGACAAGGAAAGAAAGGACCACAAGCAATGCAGGTCAACGCAACTTTAGAAGAGGTAACAGCTGCAGCAGATGGAATGTCAGATAAAGAATTCAGGATATACATGCTTCAGATGATCTGGAGTATCAAGGAAGACATTAAACAGCAAAATCAGACAATGAAAGATCACTTCGACAACGAATTACGCAAACAAATCCAGGAAGCAAAGGATCAACTATACAGGGAGATAGAGGTTATAAAAAACAAGCAATCAGAAATCCTAGAAATGCAGGAAGCAATAAACCAACTTAAAAACTCAATGGAGAATACTACCAACAGAGTAGAACACTTAGAAGATAGAACATCAGACAATGAAGACAAAGTATTTCAACTGGAAAAGAACATAGACAGCTCAGCAAGACTGTTAAGAAACCATGAGCAGAACATCCAAGAAATATGGGATAACATTAAGAGACCAAACTTAAGAGTCATTGGGATACAGGAAGGTACAGAGCTCCAAACCAAAGGAATGAGCAGTCTATTCCATGAAATAATACAAGAAAACTTCCCAGACTTGAAGAATGAGACAGAATCCCAAATCCTAGAAGCCTACAGGACGCCGAATGTGCAAAATCATAAGAGATCCACACCTAGACACATTATAATGAAGATGCCCAACATACAGAATAAGGAGAGAATTTTAAAAGCTACAAGAGAAAGGAAGCAGATTACATTTAGGGGCAAGCCAATCAGGATAACAGCTGATCTTTCAACACAGACTCTGAAAGCTAGAAGATCCTGGAATAACATATTTCAAACACTGAAAGATAATGGGTTCCAACCAAGAATTGTGTATCCAGCGAAATTAAGCTTCAGGATGGAGAATGAAATTAAAACCTTCCACGATAAACAAAAGTTTAAAGAATTCGCAGCAAGAAAACCATCTCTTCAAAACATCCTAGCCAAAGTATTAAAGGAAGAGGAAATGGAAAATAACAATGAAAACCAACAGTGGGAGGCAGGACAGTAAAGGGGGGGGGAAACAATCAAAGAGGAAAACAAACAATGTTTAGTAACAGAAATAAACAAATATGGCTGGAAGAACAACCCATATCTCAATAATAACCCTAAATGTTAATGGCTTAAACTCACCAATTAAGAGACACAGGCTAGTAGAATGGATCACAAAACAAGACCCAACAATATGCTGCCTACAGGAGACGCATTTGATAGGAAAAGACATACATAGGCTGAAGGTGAAAGGTTGGGAAAAATCATATCACTCATATGGACTTCGGAAACAAGCAGGCGTGTCCATACTCATATCAAATAAAATAGATTTCAAGCCAAAGTTAATCAAAAGAGATAAAGAGGGACACTACATACTGCTTAAGGGAACCATACACCAACAAGACATAACAATCATAAATATTTATGCCCCAAACAATGGTGCAGCTATGTTCGTCAAACAAACTCTTCTCAAGTTCAAGAGTCTAATAGACCACCACACCATAATCATGGGAGACTTCAACACACCTCTCTCGCCACTGGACAGATCTTCCAAACAAAAGTTGAATAAGGAAACTATAGAACTCAATAACACTATTAATAACCTAGACCTAATTGACATATATAGAGTATACCACCCAACATCAAGCAGTTACACTTTTTTCTCAGCAGCACATGGATCCTTCTCAAAAATAGATCATATATTATGTCACAGGGCAACTCTTAGACAATATAAAGGAGTAGAGATATTACCATGCATCTTATCTGATCATAATGGAATGAAACTGAAAATCAACGATAAAAGAAGGAAGGAAAAAGCATACATCAATTGGAGAATGAACAATAGGTTACTGAATGATCAATGGGTTATAGAAGACATCAAGGAGGAAATTAAAAAATTCTTAGAGATAAATGAAAACACAGACACAACATATTGGAATCTATGGGACACATTGAAAGCAGTTCTAAGAGGAAAATTCATTGCTTGGAGTTCATTCCTTAAAAAAAGAAAAAACCAACAAATAAATGATCTCATACTTCATCTCAAAATCCTTGAAAAAGAAGAGCAAAACAACAGCAAAAGAAGTAGAAGGCAAGAAATAATTAAAATCAGAGCTGAAATTAATGAAATCGAAACAAAAGAAACAATTGAAAAAATTGACAAAACTAAAAGTTGGTTCTTTGAAAAAATAAACAAAATCGACAGACCCTTAGCGATGCTAGTGAAGAGAAGAAGAGAGAGAACTCAAATTACTAGCATACGGGATGAAAAAGGCAATATCACAACAGACACTTCAGAAATACAGAAGATAATCAAAAACTATTTTGAATCCTTATACTCCAATAAATTAGAAGATAGTGAAGGCATAGATAAATTTCTTAAGTCATATGATCTGCCCAGATTGAGTCAGGAGGATATAGAAAACCTAAACAGACCAATATCAATTGAGGAGATAGAAGAAACCATCAAAAGACTACCAACTAAGAAAAGCCCAGGTCCCGATGGGTATACAGCAGAATTTTACAAAACCTTTAAAGAAGAACTAATACCAATACTTTTCAAGCTACTTCAGGAAATAGAAAAGGAGGGAGAACTTCCAAATTCATTCTATGAGG